TGGCATTGTTTTAACAATAGCCACCAAAAAAGTGGCAGGAGAGAGGCCAGACAGCCGAGCAGGCAGGTCACTACTGCAAGATTCAGCAGATGCATTTGTGACTCTCTATTGCATTTGTGGCCTTGATCAGGGCACTGACTTCTTCCTTTCCAGCTCTTCCTTTTTGCCCATTGTTTTTTGATTCAGAGACAGGGACTCTCTTTCCTTCTGTGGCACTCACCAGAGTCTCAGTAAAGCCTTTAGTTACTACTGCCCTGTAAAGCAGACCAGACCTGTACCACACCACATCACATGAAACCACCACTGCTGCTACCTTCAAGTTGACACTCAGTGTATTTGACATGGTTAAGTGTTAGAAAAAATGAAAAATAAAATAAAATAAATTAAAAAAAAAAAAAAAGAAAACCTAGAAACAAACAAAAATCACCACCACACTGCCTTTCTCAGATGGAGGCACTGTCATTGATTATGATAAGCAATTCCCTTGCCTGATTAATAAAGAAGCTGTAGGATATTTGCTGTCCAGGCATGTAGGCAAAATTCATCCTACATCAGATGGTCCCAAAGGAGAACAGTTGAATTTCTGTAGTGATGGGAAAGAGAGAGCATTGGGAATTATCTGCCTCACTTGGCCTCGCTCACAGAGGAGCTGACAGCGCTGGGCTGGTAGCAGCAGAATCTCAATTTAGGGAGGTCCAGCATCAGCTCTGGCTCCTGCTGACTGCTGTAGCAGTGCTTTAATGCATCTTCATCAACACTTCCATAACAGCCAGATTATTGTGATACTTTTCATTTCTGGATGGGAGAGCTCAGGATGGATGGATGCTTCATCATGGTCAGGAGACAGAAAAGGACTGCCCAGATACCAGCCCCATGCAGCAGGACCCCTCTGCTGTGGAAACAGATGAGTGTTGCTCCAAAGGGCAAAGAGGGGGTAGCAACAATAAAGGACTCTCACTTCAATGTCTTTACTGTGGTAGGCTTGAGGCTGCTTTATGCAAAATGATTAAGGCTTTTAGCAGAAGCACAAACTGAAGCTGCCAAGAGAAATATCACAGAAGCTTTAGAAGCAATACTTTTTTCAGCTGGGATAGTCAAAACTCAGTTGTTGAGTAGAAGCCCAGGTGAGTCAGATCTAGCCTGATGACAAACCATACAGCTGCTTTCGTATAAATGTGCATTTATACAGTGACCAGATTAAGAAGGATGTAGCGATGACCAGCGAGCAGGCACTGCTGGTGTGGAGTCACTGGTCTTTCCCAGCAGCACCTTGTGTGGAGGTTTCCCCCATACTGCTCCTCTTTCCCAATGCCCACCTGTTAACATTTCCTAAAGACTTTTAACTTACTTGCAGCTATGGAAGGGCCTTCCTTTTGTAATATTTATAATTATTGCACTAGCTGGAGCTCTCTTTTATGGAATCCTTCCTTTACATTATCCTCCTTTGTTTGCTACAACCCACTTATAATATTATAATAATTGATATATGTCTCCAAACTCGTCCTTTTTTAAGAGCTCTCTGATACAGTGCAGGGGTCTCAGCTCAGGTATTAGAGAAGTAAGAGGTCCCCAATGGCACTTTGTGACAATTTAGGTGATTACTGCCCTGCCCTTTAGGGTCAAAGGAGAAAGACAAGATCAAGTAGCCACAAAGATGAAATCAATCCCTGTCAGGGTGGGTCAGGCATTAGGAGGTTTTAAATACTGTTAAAAGCTTGCATTTAATCATAAAGCCATCAGCCAAGTGTTTTATAACCACTGAAGCTATCCAGTTTCTGGTGCTCAGGGTGGAAAAACTTTTATTAACAAATGCTGCTATGAACCAACCAAAAATGAAGTTCAGCTATATTTTCCCTGATATTCAGCCACACTCATACAGACACATATAGAAGAAAGATCTGCTGTCCCACCATGAGCAAAACTGCTTTAACATCAAACATGGGTAACCCAAACAACATCAAGCAGTGTGACCTGTGTTGCTCGTATGGATGGACTGATCCACTGGAGGCACTGGGGTTTTACCACATGACTCTGAAAATTATTAAATAAATCACACACAGACATTGCAGGAAGTATGACCCAGTCTATCCAAAAGCACAAAATGCCTAATTTCTGGAGTAGGATCATTATGCAGAGACTTACATGTGCTATCACATTTTTCTTGGAGCCAACTGCAATAGTGAGAAGGAAGTTGGAAGGAATAGCATTGCACAGCCTACTTTATAAAAACAGAATTGGTTTTCTCCAAAATACTGGGACAAATTTGCATTCCACCACTGAGGCAATTTGGCCAATCCCTGCTTTCCACCCTGAGCACAGCAAGGTAGCCAGAAAGAGAAGGAACTGATCTCCCTACATCAGAGACTTCAAATCCCCAATCAGACCATCTGGACTTTAAGCTGAAAGATTTGACCCTTGCAGACACCTTCCCTGAACACAAAAGCTCTTCCCCACGTGAGCTCAGCCTGTCCAGCACTGTGGTGCTTGTCCCCCTGCCACCCTCCTCCTCCACCACAGCAGTGGTGTCACCCTACCTGGAGCCCATCCTGTAAGCATCAATACTGCTTATGGCAAGTGGTCTTTCCCTTTCAAAATTTGCAATTAATTTTCATGAATATTCTCAAGTGCCACACAAAAACGTGACACTAAAAAAGCATTAGATCCTTCCTGTGCCATCCCCTGATTAGCTTTTTCTCATCGTCAGGAGATTTATGAATTTAATCTCCATTTTATAGAACTTATCACTTTTAACAACTAGAGGAAAATGCTAAATTGTTTTTATTGCTGCTAGATGTTCAAAGACATGATGCTGTATATTGCCATTTACATTTCACATTAAAAGTGATATATGTTGAGAATGTGCAAGTATTTGTTTTAATTTGACCCATCTGTTAAATGAAAAACAAAGAGGACTTCTAAATCACAATATTTAAATTCAGCGATTTGTAAACAATTTATATGTTCATTTCTTCTGGGTTAAAACTGCCCTAAAGCATCACTATTATGAAATCTCCAAATTAAATTGCTTTGCAGGCCAGAGTTTCTTCCTCCTCAGTTTATTAATTTATTCCCAAAGCCAAGTAAATTAGCAAGACTCATATTAAAGTCTTACCACTGAAATAATTTGGGGGAATTTGTGGAAGTATCTACTGCCTCCAAAAAGCTGAGAGTACGGAGGAAGTGTCAGATACTGGTGGCAAATTCCTTCGTGATAGAGGGCAAACTAGTTGCTTTCATTTAGCTTTCCAGTACTCCTGCAAGCAGCACATCTGCCTATTCCATGCTAGACCATCACCAAGGAAGGACAATAATCAAGAAGGGGAAAAAAAGTCATAGCAATTTACCTTCCCCCCTCAACCTAGTCAGGATTTGGATCTTAGACTGGGCTTTAATGTAGCTGTGGTAATGGTAACTTACAACGGGTTGCAGAGGCACAGACATTTAAGGAATCCACAAGTAACACTTCAAGAGCAGATCTGTTTTTCTGCTTTGTGCAACAGGTATATTTAGCTACAATGCTGTGCCTCTACCCCAGAAATCAGTACTGTCAAGTGGAATGAGGATACTGAGAGCCTTTCAGTCACCCACATACAGGGCCTCTTGCCCTAGACTAACAGACTCCTTGTGAAAGGAGATGATTTCTTCATTAGATGTACACTCTGAGCATGAGGAAGGGCTCTGTACAGCCTGGAGTGTCACATCTCCCATTTGAAGCCCTTGTCACGCTCTCTGATGGTGGAGTGTGCAGCTCCACCCTGTCCCAAACCCAAGTCATATGCCTTGTCTGAATGACAGGTTTTCACCATGCTCTCACACAGCTGCAGCAGGAAAGGGGCTGGCTGCACCCTGGGCTCCTTACCCTGCATTCATGTCCTAGCCATAGACCATGGCAAAAGCAGGACTAGAGGAGGAATCAGAGAATCCTCAGAAAGCAAAAATAATTTAAAAAGAGGAAAAAAATAATAAAAGAGCTAATCTACCTAAAGTTGCAGAAGTGGACAGACCCACAAGTTTCAATTCCCTCTCTTCAATATCAATCAGAGCACTAAAAAGCAACGCACAAGTACTGGGTCTACTGCATATTCTTACACTAGGGTCTACTGCATATTCTTACACTAGGTGGTTCGTTTATTATATTCAGTATCATATTAAGCAACCCAATAAAACAGGAACTAGTAGTAATGCAGCCAGGGCATGATTAAGGGCAGCTCTAAGAACATCAACAAATGTGGAGACTACATGGATCACAGCCCGGAAAGATTCCAAGTTGGCAAAATGACAGCTTGATTAGTTTTTGTCTGACAAATGTGGCAACAGAGATCAGAATCAAACATAATTTTGAGGTTACAGGCCTTCAAATAAAACCAGAGAAAAAAATTCAAAGAGGGCAGCCAAATATCAAATAAACTCTCCAGCCCAGCTTCTTTGATGCTCAGATGCAACACAGCCATAACTACTGAGGTTAAATAAGAACTCTCCAAGGAGCATCCTGAATCAACAGGGAAATGCCTTTAGAGAGGGACAAGCTTCAGATCTTGCAAGACAGTCTTCCTTCCCATCAGGAGCCTTACTAAGTATGCTCATATTTGTAATTTATTGGGAAAACATGCAAGTAGAGCTACTTTATATCCAGGCAACCGTTGCCTATTGCTACCCCAAAGGTCAAGCTGCAACAGCCTATCACCCATACTGCTGCACATAGGCATGCAGGATAATCAGACAACAGAAATAGCAAACAGCGAATGGATTTTTCCTTCTTTTTCCCTCCCACCTGTTCTAATGACAAAAAGAGTGTGTCAAAAACATACAGAGACATCAGGTTTTTTAAAATGTATGCTCGCAACCAAAAGTATTGCCTATCCCTCATTTTGTATGGACTCCAACCATACATTCCCCATTTGGAGGAACTTGGTGAGATAAAATGGAGGCTTCTGGGCTTCATTCCCATGTGGAAAGGGGGCAGAGGACAGAGGGGAGGCAGAGTAGGACAGGCTTCTTACCCAGGAAAAAAGTGATCTGTCTCCTGGAGCTCTTGCCCTCTGAGCTCTCACTTTTTCTTAGATACTTCTGGTGCTTTTGTCCTCCCTTCACTGCCACAGTTCCTTCCTTGTGGATCATCAGGGCTTTCATCATGCTATGGCACATGAAGGTGACAGATCCCAGCACTATGATGTACACAGCAAAGGCACTGAAGACGCTGGCTTGAAAGAGAGGAAACTTGGAAGAGAGGCTGGTACAGATGGTCATATTGTACTTCAGCTCAGGTATGAGGTGCCTGGGAGTAGGTCTGACACAGGCCGTCGTACTTTGGTAGCCCTCGACGATTTCCAGGGGATATTCGGTGCCCATGGCAAAGAGCAGGGGCAGAGCCACCAAGACAGATGTCCCCCAGACAAAGGCGATGAGCAGCTTCACCGTGCGGGGTCCAGAGAGAGACTTGAACTTGAAGGGGTGGCAGATAGCGATGTACCTCTCAAAGCTGAGGGTGGCAACGTGCAGCACAGTGGCATAACTGCAGGCTTCAAAGAGGAAGTAGTAGAGCTTGCAGGCAATGTTGCCATTGGGGGTAGAAAAGGGGCTCCAGATGGCACTGAAGAACTCCACGGGCATGCCCAGCAGGATGACCAGCAGGTCAGAGCAGGCCAGGCTCACCATGTGGTCGGTGACCTCCTTCTGCAAGTAGCCCTTCTTCTGCAGGATCCTGGTGGCCTTGATGGTGATGCTGTTGCCCAAGATGCCCGCAACAAAGATGCAGATGTAGACTAAGGCCAAAGTGATCTTGATCCACAGAGCCACCTCAAACTCCTGAACATGGCTGTGGTCAATGAGATGAGAGCAGTCTGAAGTGGATGTCTGTCCTGCCATGAGCAGCCCCTGGCAGGGAGGAGGAACAAAGTGCCCTCCTGCCTTCTCTGATGTTCAAATTCACAGCAAACGGGTTCTTTCTCGCTTTGCCCCTCTCACGGAGACGCACATGTCTGAGCAGTCAGGTATAATGTGTGTCACCTGGCCACACCTGTGGGGTTTGTTAGCAACCCTCTGAGTCAGTAAGTCGAACAGGAAAGTGTTTCAGCTCTTACCTATCTTTATGGTAAACACCTCTTTCTCCTTTTGGATTTTCCTCCTCCTTTCTCTATGGACTGAAGCTGCTGTTTTCCAGCCCTTCAAGGTATGAACTGCTCTGCTTTCAGCGCTTGCTTCTTCCTCTGCAAGCAAAGCAGCTTTTGGTCCCCGCCCCAGGAGGAAGTCTGTGTGGTTACAGCTACTCTGTTAACCATTAACTTAAATCTTGGCTATCCCTAGTTCTCTAGTCACTGGCAGAACAGGGGGCTTAGAGGAGAGGAAAAAAAAAAAAAAAGGGTGAGCCACCCATGTCTGAAATTCACTTCCTGTAGCAGGAGGTGCTTCACAAGGATGAAAAGAGGTGTTTCACCTAAAGCTGTTGGTTTGGTGGGGTCAGGCTGAATGTGTGAATGGACACATGCTAAAGAGAAAGTATCTCCTCATGAGTTTAACATTAACTGGGCTTCAGACTCCATTACTACGTGTGCTAATGCCACGAGCTTCACTACTTTACATTTCCTTTCATCAAGACCTCGGCATCTGCAGCAGCAGTGTTGGTTATGTGCAGCCATGGACTGATTTACATCAACAGGACATTCTGGTTTTCAGTTGCTGCTGCTGAACTGGTAGCTTCTTAAAATAACTGGCTAGACTCTGAAGAGCCTTCTCAGAAGTTATGAAGTAAGCTGAACTCTAGATTTAGACACATCAATTGTTTCCCTTCAAATTTCCGTCTTCTCATGTTAGATAAGAGCAATAATGAAGTCAGTAACCCAGTCATGCTCATGCTTTCAAATAATCTGGAGTAGCAGGGGATGAAAATGTACTTCCCCCTACTGTGTCTCACCCCAAGGGGAACGAATTTAACACGCTCTTTAGTTTTAGTTTCAAACCATAGCACTGAAGGCTCCCAAGGTAACCCCTGGAAACATTTAATTAGAGGGTGTGTATATGGATTAGGAAACCTTTAAATTACAATGCAAAATGGCCATACAGCTTTTGCAGCTATAATAGAGAGAGGCCCAGTACTGTGATCTGCTCCAATACCAAATCTAAGAACAGTGGGTTCACAAAGTGATTTTTATTAACTAGACAAGCTCATGTGACACTTGCAGCTCATGATAAAAGAGAAACATTAGGAAGTTGTTGTTAAGCAGTCTCCTCACATTCAGTGGTTATCACTGTACCTCAGCAGCCCAAGTATATAATGAACAAAAGATGCCCAAACCAGGATAATCAGCACCTGTTTCTATGCATTATTTATGTATTTCTGTTTCAGAAAAATCACCTCAAACCTTGCACAACTTCAAGCTGTGTAGTGCCAGTCATCTTTCCTTATGTTTGATAATTCACATTTGTTCTGCTCAGACAAGCTTTCTATTATTACCCCATTTCTTTCACTTAATTTTACTTTATAAAAGAGTGAACAAAGATTACATATGCATGACTGAATTGTGGAAATGAAGCTAATTAAAATTTGCTGCTTACCATCAAAAGGGAAAAGTGAGAGAGAGAGAGCAAAAGAGAGAGAAGGCCCAATAGGATTAGATCTCCCCCTTTTTTCCACACCAATTATAAAATGCAGAACACAATTTTGCATTTTCAATATTATCTTTAGAACATACACAAAGTTTATTAAGTTTCTAATAAAGAGCTGGTGCCACAAAGGGGATAGGAAGGAAAGAGACAATTGAGGATGCTCATAGACTGAGACCATTAAATATAAAAAAATATTACATAGGTTACTGGACTAGATAAACCAGGAGCGGATATTCCAGAGATAGGTATAAAATCCCTATCATGGGTGATTATAAAAAAATATATCTTCTTGGAGAAGAAATTTCTGACAAGTAAATGTGATCTTTGTGGCATGGAGGTTGAGAGATCATAATCTTTACCCTGATGGACATGATACCAGTTTATAAACATATGATTTGTGTTACAGTCTCATTTTAGGGATTTCCTTAAGTTTTCCTTGATACCTCGTAACAGTAAATACCATGAGTTAATTTTTGTGTTGTTGCCTTTCCCTTAGCAGTTTCAAAAGTGAACTGTGGCCTCTGTAGTTGCACCTGGGAGAGCACTCCAGGGAGTTCCTCCTGACCCAATTTGTTGCAATTGCACACCACGACTTCAGCTGCTAGCACTGAAGAGGAGGCAAGAGCATTAAGGGTAGAAATCACCATATTTCTTTCTAAAATCAGCACACACGGATGCTGCACACTGCCAATCACTTGTCAGCATCCTTGGTAAGCAAACGGAGCCTCCTGAAGATGCAGATCACATGGGCACAGGGTGCAGCTGGCTCTGTGCGCCACTTGCTCGGCCAGTCATGTCCACCCGAACGCCTGCGGTGGTGCAGTTGTTGGGAAAAGATGACGAGTGGTGGGAGCCAGAGGAACACTGAGATGGAGCAGATTGTTGTTACTGTAGTATATAAGGTGATTTTTCACCTTCAGAGATAATAAAGCTGCTGTGATCACCCACCCTGGTTTGTTATCCAACAGAGTGTACAAGGTTTCCTGAAGGGTGTTTTGCTTTCTTGCCTGGTCCTTGGATAGCACTCTGGTGAAAGGCCTTTTGGGGGCAGAAGAAAGCAGAGCTTTATCATCCATCCTTTAGGCCACTGCATGAAGCTCACCTTCTGCCCCTTGTGTAGCACACCATCTAGCAACTCGCAGTGCCCAGGGACCAGGCTGGGTTGAGGCACTCAGTCCTTGGCCAGCTGCTGTCTCATTAAAAGTCAGGTCCTCCAAACTCCTGATGAGGTTGGTCCCCCAAAACTGGCAGTTAGCACAAGTTGTATTCCAATGAATCTTGGAAAAGCAAACTCGTTTGACAGATGCTGTTGCATTTCGGTAAATGGATTGTAGATTAACCTTTTCCGGTGTGTGGGGGGATCATTCTGCTCCCACCTTACAAATGCCCTTTCTTCCCCAGCTGTGCAGCGCCAGCACGTGGGTTGGCTCGGGGTGCCCAATCTGCAGAATCACTCTGTGGTTTTTTCTCAATTACCATACGGCATGGATGCCAGGGTGCTCTGATAGGCAGACAGGCACTGCCACACTTGCGTTATCACTGCAGAATTATCTCTCGATAGCTGTGTTGTGAATATGCAAATCCACCTTAATTGGCTACACTAATCACACTGCTCTGACTGGTTTCTGTTCTCAAACTGTTCAAGCTACTTGACAGGAACAAAGAAAATATCTCAGTTTCTTGCTTCTCTTAGCTTAAAAACTCTAAAACCTAAATGAAAAAGGAGAGCTATCTCAAAAGCGAAGAAAATGAGGCTGTGAAAAGGATTAACTTTTTTTTCAGATAAAAACACATTGACTTTTTTTTTCTTGGCAGTCTTTACCATTCTCCATCTCAACAAACCTCTTGTCCCTAGAATAGCTGTGATACCTTTGTCTTGCCAATATTTGTTTAGACAAAGCGAATCCTGGGCTTGTTCAATTCTCTTTGAAACACGAGGTAAACAAAATGAGATTGCTGTTCTGCAGAGGCAGCTACCCTGATCTCCACAGGCAGAGGGGAAAGTGCAGTGGGAATAAAAGGAAGAAGCAACACAGACAAAAGTGAAGTGTCCAAATGATTTTAAATGTTTTAAGAAATCGATTTACCTGAGACAGCTCATGTTGGCTTTCAAAATTATTTTTCATTAAAAATTTAAATAATTAAAGACTGTAGTCAGCTCCAGGTTTCTTTCTGTTTTCTGGAATCTAACAAGCCTCTTTACTGTTAAGATCCATTTGTATTCTTCTGGTGAGTTATTCTTGAATTATATTTTTCTTCTATGGAAGATTATGATGACAGTTAATAACATAAATAAGTACAAGTCGTTTGTGAAGTTTATATCTTCTTAATTTCCCTAAGAGTTTGGTTTTGGGCAAAACAGTCTAAGAACCATCGTGCTGTTAACTGCTTGGCTCACTTTCTTCTGGCAACACGAGAGACTGGGTTATGCAATCTGGGCAGTGGGTCTGCTGTGTAACCTGAGCATCCATAATGAATTCTAATGGAATTAGATTACCTCTTCAAAGGTGGCATAGGGAAAGCTGCCATCTTTTATTCAGCAGTGTGCAGTGCTACCTGCTGTAATGCATCCTCCTGGAATATCATGTTGTGCACGCTTGCTTATTTGGAGGATAGAGAAGGGATTTCAAATGTGCTTCCAGGATACACAGTGAAAAAGATCTCTGCTCCAAATCATTCCGTCTAAATAAATAGATCAAAGCACTTCACTACTTCCAGTGTATTTTACAAATTGGAAAGCAACATGAGAAGAAACTGGGGACAGTGAGACTAAATGGTTTATCCAAGATACAGAAAAATCTGTGCAACACACGAGCCTCCTCATCAGTACACTGGATTCCTGCTAACTTCCTCACACAACCTGCAGCACGCAGACTGCCGAGCAATAAATGCATTTACACAGCTCTTCTCTGGTTGCTCTGGTGCTTTTAACTGATGTTAATTCATAAAAATTAAAACCCATTTACAGAACCAAAACACATAATTATTGTACATAGTCATATCTGGAGGTGTTGAACAATACACCACCTGCTGTCTGATCACCTTGGTAAATTAAACGCATTAAAGCTCCTCAAAGCCTTCACTCAATTGCAGCTCTGTCTGAAGTAAACTAGGAGGTGTGTGGATTGCTGTGATTAGATGGGAGTGCACTTTGACTGACAAGGAAGTGAAACGGTTAATTTTCCACTCTTGGAGTAAGGAAAGAGATGCACTTATCTGTCCCCTGACACTGCAGCAGGTGTGAGGAGGCCAAGTAGAGGCCA